AATGGCTCCACCCAGCTTTAGGGAGGGTAGTGTGAAAACGTCCTAAGACAACAAGCCAATTGTTCTAGCCTTCCCAGAAATTCAGTATTTAAACTGAGATGGACTATCTATACCTAGACCAGGACATTCTACCAAACCCAGCCTGGATCAAGGAATTTAGGAAGGACCAGCCCTCAAAACAAATTCTAATTTCACCAGAGAAATTTTCTCAGAGGCTATGCTGGATAGAACAGGGTTACATTTCCTTCTCAGTGCCTTATGTCCCTGGCAACGTCTTTCTCTTCTCTCTCTCTTTCTCCACACATCTGTGCATGTGTATTGGCCATAATCAGGCTGTTACTTTCAAGATGTTGGCTGAAATCTGGGTGGCTAACACTAAATTAATGCAAAAGGTGTTGAGAGGAAGCATGAGCACTGATCGTGATTCATGTATAGCTATGGCCACTGCCTATGTCAATTAGGCATTCTTGGAAGACAGGTCAATCAATGACTCTTGAATTTTGCTCTCAGGAAATCATTAAAGACATAGGAGCTCTTTAATGGGCATCAGCCCTGGAGGCAAGCTAAGTGGTTATGTAACAGTGAAAGAATGGAATGTCTGAAAGTATCTTTGCAAAAATTATTTCCAAATCCTGATTTTATTACCAAATTCACTTCTTCAAGGTTCCCTGAAAATGGAGGTTCCACCACATGTTGGGAAGCCTTCATGCCCTCCAAGTGTCCTGATTTGGCAGGGACAGTCTGCAGTACATCATTTGCTGTCTCACTTTTTGGCTGATTTTAAGATGGCTCAGTTTTGGGCACCACAGTGCAAAAAGAATATTGACAAGTTGGAAAGTGTCCTGAGTTGGTTGACAAAGATGATAAAGGGCCTGGAAGCCAAGCTTATGAGGAACAACTTAAGGAGCTGCTTATGCTTAGCTTGGAGAAGACTTTGAGAGATGACAGGATGATAATCTTTAAATATCATCCTGTCATGGATGCCATGTAAAAGATGCGGTCAGCTTATTTCCTGCTGCTCCAAAAAATAGAACAAGAACCAGTAGATTCAAATTACAAGAAAAGAAATTTTACCTTAACTTGAGGAAGAACTTCTTTACTGTAAGAGCTGTTAGACTGTGTAATACAGGGGTCGGCAAACTACTGCCCAGGGGCCGAACCCAGCCCCTTGAGGCCTTTCAACCAGCCTGTGGCTGGTCCTGCTACCGCCGCTGCCACTGCGCATGCATGACGCGGGATGGCATTTTGTGTTCCAAAATGGAGCCCGCGCTCACGCATGCATGCACACTAGTCCCGGTGTCGTGTGCGTGCATGCATGAGCACGTGTGCTATTTTGGAACACAAATGGCGCCCCGTGCTCGTGTATGCATGCGCACAACACCGGGAATAGTGCGCATGCATGCACGAGCGAGCGAGTACGAGCGTGCGCGCGTGCACCTCTGGCACCATTTTTTTCCTTCGGCCCAACGATGATCTGGGGGACAGCGGAACTGCCCCCCCCAAAAAAAAGGTACACCGACCCCTGGTGTAATAGATTGTCTCGGAAGGTGGTGGATTCTTCATTTTTGGAGAACTTTAAATAGAGGTTGAATGGTCATCTTTTAGGAATGATTTCTAGTTGTGTTTTCTTGCATGGCAGGGCTTTGGACCAGATGGCTCTCATGGTCCCTTCTAACTCTAAGATTCTATGATTCTATGAAATATTAATCTGACTCTTTGGTTCCAGTGGGACTTGGTTTGTGAACAAAGAGGGATGAACCAAGCAACTGCTACGTTCTTCTTCATTGGTGTCATGCTTGGGGCTGTGATCTTTGGCTACCTCTCCGATAGGTAATTTGATTGCGCTTCTTTGTTTTCTGCTATCTTCACACAACAGGCAGTTTGCCCCCTTCTTTTCCGTTCCTTTGCTTTCTTTCTAAAGCTGGGGTGGGAGATGGTGGTAGTAAAGGGCTGCATTAATCCCCCAGGAGACTTTGGAGGGACACATTCCTCCCCTGCATGCCCTCACAAAAATCATTTTTGCCTCCAAATACCCTCCAAACTCCTTCTAGGGGGCATGAGGAACATTTCCACCATTTTTAAATGCTTTTTTCTTTAGTTAGTCTCAAAGGTACTACAAGATCTCTCTACATACTGATAAGTTTCCAATATTAAGCATTGTTTCTGCTCATACAGATACATCATACCACACTGGGACAGAAAAGGTAAATGCAGGCCCATTATTCTGAAAGGGCCAATCACTCTCACAAGCCATTGTAGGGATGGGATGGGATGGGGACAGGTGGCAACAATATTTGTCATGTGAATAACACTTTCTTTGTGGTGTGGCAGGTTTGGCCGGAAATCCATGCTTCTCGTGGCATATGTATTCACCTTAATCTTCGGCATGTTGAGTGCAGTCTCAGTTACATACAGTATGCTAGCAGTCACACGGGCCCTGACAGGGATGGCTATCTGTGGGCTCTCCCTCATCGTACTGCCTCTGGGTAAGCACAATGGAGTTCCAAGATAAGTCATTCAAAAAGCTATGGTACAGAGATAATTTTTTAAATAGAAATGACATTCTGCATCAGAGTGCTTTCCACATGTTCAGGCGACTTCCCTTGCAAAATGGGTCTTGGAATCTAGTAAAGAACTGGCCATGTTATCTACCTATGGCTAGAATCTTGTTGACAATAACGTGCATAACATGGGGTTGCATGCACGTACGCCTCCTTTTAGATGTTCTGCAAAGAGCTATTCATTAGTGCCTTGTGCAACATTCAGTTTCCTGGCATTTATTAAGCCCTGGGGCCATGGCTGTGACCATTACTGGCAGCAGGAGGGGAAAGGAAACAACCATGAGTGCCTGGCTGCAGTTGACAGCAAGAAGAATCAGGTCACGCTCCCAGATTTGCAGAGACTTGCTGGCAGTGATGTAGACTTGAGTCAATTGACTCAAACTTATGTTGGACTCAAGTGACTTCAATGACTTGACTTGGGAAAAATGACACATTGTCTCCATTTGACTTGAGACTTGTACAGTCAGCCTTCAGTATCCGCAGAGGATCTGTTCTGGGACACACAGACCCCTGCAGATACAAAAATCCATGGATGTTCAAGGTCCATTGTCCCCAATTGCAGTGTGTGCATGCAGCCACACCTCCATTAGGGGCAATGGGACTTACATGTGGCTGCACCACCATTAGGGACAGCCCTCATTGTCCCCAGGGGTGGCACATGCATGTGGCTGTGCTGCCATTGGGGATTACAGCACTTCTGTTGACCCTAATGGTGGTGCAGTCACATGCACACACCACCACTGAGAACAATGGGGGCTATCCCTAATGGTGGTACAGCCACATGCATATGTCACCATTGGGGTCAATGTGGGCTTGCCATCTGCAGATGCTTGAATCTGTGGATGGCAAGTTCATGGATATCGAGGGCTGACTGTATATTTTTAGTGACTGACTTACTGATGCCATTCACTTTGAGCAGCAGGCAAGATCTGGCTCCAGAACACAGGGTGCATTTCTCGAAATGGAACAGCAAATGTGTTAGACAATGGACTTGAGGTGGAAGGATCTTTCTAAAACTTTCTGAAAGCTTTAGAAGGATCATTTGATGTGCAGCAGGACAGGCTGCCTCAACCCTCATCTCACCTCCACCCTCACTTCAAGCCCATTGCCTAACCAGTTTGCTGTTCCTCTCCGAGAAACGCGCCCCGCATTAAAAGTTGGCTCCCAGACTTGAGACTCAACTTGAGACTTGACTTGAAAGTATCTTGCAAGAACTTGAGACTCAACTTGAGACTTAAAGGTAGAAACTTGAAGCTTGATTTGAGATTTCGATGAAAAGACTTGAATACATCACTGCTTGCTGGAGATCTGGAAGAAGGCCTTCATTTCTGTTCCTCTGGCTGTAGCCAGCTGCTGTTGGTCGTCTCCTGTCCCTAGGCAGTGAACTGCTGAAACAGCATCAGCTAGGAATTGACTGCTGAAATGAGAGAGAGAGAGGAGCAGAGCTGTGTATGTGGAGCATTACATGCAACATGCCTGGATGCAAGCTTTTGGTCACTGTCTTTTTATCTTGCCAAAAAGGGAGGAAGGAAGGTTGGCTCCAGTCCTTATGGTATGGAATTGTAAAGCCAGAATGTGAACAAAAGTAACAAGAACAAACAAGGAAACCATGTCAGGCTGAATAGGAGCCAGTGGGGAAGGATGTAATACTTGATGTTCCTCACCACATATTTTAAAACAGCTCTGAAAAGTGAGTGGAACAAAGACATACTGAATCACAATCTCATTGTGGGGTAGATCCACCACAAGCCAATTCAGCAATCACAAATCCATGGAAGACGTCAGCATGGAATGAAATTGGTACGTGAATAACTAGGATATGGCTCTGTTTACTTGTAATAGTTATAGAGTGGAATCCTGTTGGTGATTACATATACAGGTGTGATGACATATGTATGAGCCAGCATGGCATAGTGATTTGAGCATTGGACTATGATTCTGGAGACTAGGGTTCAATTCCCTACTTGGCCATGAAAACTCACTGGATGATCTTGGGTGAGTCACACACTCTCAGCCCCAGCAAACCCCTGATAGGTCTACCTTAGGGCCACCATAAGTTGGAAATGACTGGAAGGCACACAATAACAATGGCATATGTACTTTTTCATACTTTGAGGAAGGAGTTTTCAATTACCTCCTGCGACAAGGCTCCCACTCCAGTGTGCAACAAAGAGTGAGAGAACTGTGAAGTTGAAGGCTTTCATATCCATCGTCCATAGTTTTCTGTGGGTTTTCTGAGCTATGCAGCTGCTTTCTGGAAGAATGTATTCCTGATGTTTCACTTGCATCTGTAGCTGGCATCTTCAGCGGATCCCCTCTGAAGATGCCAGCCACAGATGCAGGTGAAACATAAGGAATACATTCTTCTAGAACATGGCCATATAGCCCAGAAAACCCACAGAAAACTATAGTGAGGGAACTCCCAATGCAGGTCTGTTTCCCTGGCCAGCTGTAGGATTACTTGTGTCAGCTGGAAGAAGCAAGGATGGAAGAAGCAGCTTTACAGTGGAGGTGAAGACTGTGGCTTCTTCTCTCCATGCTCAGGGAGTCAGAAAGAGTCTGGGTGTACCCATACAGCTAGTCAGCGGCTGGGGAGACAGAACTGTGGTCAAAAGCTACCTACCTGCTGTACTCTGAGGGATGCAGCTTCTGCCACCTCTGTTTTTTCATATTCTGTTGCATGTATGTGTCTACACATGCACACACAATATACACGTGCACATAATTACTAAGTTCTGCTTCTGTGTTCCAGGCTTAGAATGGGTGGATCTACACCATCGCACCATATCTGGGGTCATAACCAGCATCTTCTGGAGTTTTGGAAACATGCTTCTTGCTCTGATTGCCTACCTGGTTCGGGACTGGCGTTGGCTGCTGTTTGCTGTCACTCTCCCTTGTGTTGTGGGCATTGTCTCTGTGTGGTGGGTGAAATGAACACTGCGTGCTTATGTGCTACTGAGTGCAGAGAACCATCTTAGATGTGAGGATATACACAGTTTGCACTGAATGCTGGCTTTTTCATCCCATCAGGAGAAGAGCTCGGATGTAATAAATGATAACAAACAGAGTGATCTGTCACAAATTTAGGGATGTAAATCTTTGATTATTTTATTCTTGCATGTAATAATGAAAAAATTATAAAGCTTTCTCTGCACTGCAGTAGAAAACAAATAGATCCATGTAGCTTCCCCCTAGTATTTGCACTTCCTGAAGTGTTCTGGTGCAAAGTTTATAATTTTTGAAACAAACAAACAGACATCCTCTGGCTTATTTTGGGACATTCCACTGTTTCAACAGATGGCTGTATAGCCATATACTGCGCTTTGAACCCCCATCTTCTCTTTTGACCACTACTTGTATGTAGTTTTCGTCTTCTCTCAATCAACACCATCTAGTGTTCAATCTTGCAAGCTAAAAAAAGATGGTTCTGCTTTTCAGTGGATTCCACATTTTGACAGTTTTCCATTTCCTAACCCATCAGATAACCAAGGTCTTCCTGTACATGTGTGTTTCAGGAAATAATAGCCAAGGTTCTGCATCATCAGTATAACTATGATGATGGAGCTCTGTCACTGTAACTATGCCTAATCATAGAATCATAGAATTATAGAATCATAGAGTTGGAAGAGACCACAAGGGCCATCCAGTCCAGCCCCCTGCCATTCAACCCCTCCCAATTAAAGCATCCCTGACAGATGGCCATCCAGCCTCTCTTTAAAAACCTCCAAGGAAGGAGACTCCA